CTCGCAACGGCCGCAAAGCCTCCTAGATCCGAGTCCAACTCCCTCTCTTTTTCCTTTCTTCTTCCTCTTTCTCTCTCACGCATTCGTTTTCTTTCTTTCCTTCTTTCTTTTCAGTTTCTGCGTCTGTTTTCCCTTTTAAATTGCTGATATTAGACTTTGGGGAAAATTACAATAAAGGGCCCAACCTTTTTTTATTATAGCACAAAAGCACGGGTCAACTTTGGTAATTTTTTCCATAGTTAAAAATCAAATAAATCCAAACTTTTGCTTAGTAAAATTAAAACTCTAAACCTCTATCAAATTATTCTAAATTTTAATTTAATTATAAATATTTTATTTTATTTTTTTTAAAATAAAGCTGAGTCTTAAAATTTTTTTTTGGATGTTACAAGAAGCATGGGAATCCAAAAAGAATCAAAGCCTTTACATAAAAGTTGAAAATAGTGAAATAATGTAGAAAACAAGCATGCGCTATGGTTTGTTATATGTGCACCGTAGCACAATGCTTTTTATACCATGTACTATGGCGTATTGCACTTTTTTGACAGTATTGCTGTTGTCATTTGACAATAATAGGGGCGAACTTCCGACAAGCCTCACTTTTCTATTTAACGTTCAATTGAAGTGATTTAAATGTCTATAGAGAGCTTTCTCTTAACTTTAGCCAATAACACTAACTTCATAATCATAATATTTTGTAATAAAAAGTTAGACACCTATTTCAAAACTTACTTCTTTCCAATCTTAATACACAACTTGGGTGCCCAATTCATATTTCAAGTGCTAAGAGACAAATTTACAACCTAAACCATGCTTAAAGGATCATAACAAGCTAGTACAATATACCATATCTCACAACATATATAATATATTTTCAATACTCAACCCTTAAATCTCAAAAATAGAAGGGGTAGCCTTAATGTCATAAACATCATAATCATTCAACAACATTTACATTTTTACCCACTTCTTATTCATATTAGTATTTTCATCCTTTCTAAATTTCACAGTTTATACATATACTTAACCTAAGGCCCATAATACACAGTTTAACAAAAATAACATATAATTCAAGTAAGTACACATGTAAACTTTTAGTTGGCGATGTTATCAATAAATATACACATATAATACTCAAAATAAAGAGGCTTACAGATTTAGGATCAAAGTCCTAAGTCTCAATTTGTTTCCTTTGTTCGTGTCCCAATAACCTAGCTTTTGTAATATTAGAGATAAAGGGGTAATTATAACCACTTAGTAATCAAGGTCAATCTAATTTATACTAATGTATGTTAATTAACTTAAATGCAAGTGGCAAACATAGTCATACACATGACAATTCAATATGTTCAACCACAGGATCACACTTCCTATCATTATGAACATATAATCACCAAGTGAAAATATAATAGCTCATTTTATATTATTATATACTAATCATATGTTTTCATCATGAGGGTCACAACACAAACAACCATGTACTCTTTTATCATAATATACATGATTACACCTCCCTTATATTCTCTTTATGTCATGATCACACTAGGATCGTCTATAAAATGAGACTACTCTAGCCATTCACGCACGAGGGGCTATTCAGTCAAGGTTACCTAATTCACTTGTGAGTCATAATTTTCCTTAAATTTCACATTGTAGGGTGTCATTCTCCATAAACTAGCTTCTTTATTGAACGAGTAAAAAAATTAATTAGATTCAAGTCCTTAATTGAACAAGTGGGACAGTCTCTTCTCAAATAAATGGGACGATAAATATAAACAAACCCAAGAAAACCATCAAGCTCTGATGGAAGCTTTACCACATTGGTTTTAATCTTTTACTCCTCTCATGATCATGTAGTATATCAAAATGCAATTTCTCATAACATGAAAATATTCCATACATTATCGTGTCAACTCACTTCATTGTATTCTACATTCCTCAATTCACAATTAATCATAGAACTTTACATCACACATAATCATTGAATTTTTCATAACACATAATCATTGAACTTCATTTATACATAATCGTTGAACTCCACAAATCACATAATCATTGGCTTTCAAATATTTAATGCCACACTTGTACATCAATAGTTTCACATATATCAATTAAAATGTTTAAATCAACAAATCAATCAACACACAAAAGTACAAGAAAAAATTCTCTCAATTACCTTAAATCTTTGAGAGGTCAAATGTTTACCCTTCAAATTTGCACTTCCAAAGCTTTACAAAGCTTGAATGATGTCAAATGTGCTCACTTTATATTTAACTAGAATATTAATCATCAACATCTCCTTTTGAAAAATTTTCACTATCTAGTTCAATATTTCTACACTCCTAAAATCCAGTCTCTTAATATACCAAGGTACTTATAGGATTTATTAGCTTCTTTTAACTCTTATTAATTTCATTAAACTTTTAACCATTATTAATAGAGCTACATTACTTCAACCACCTTATTAATGGTGGAAATTTTAAATATTTATGACTTCCAATGACTAAAAAAATAGCGTCATAAATGCTAGATCTAAATAGTTCAAACGATTCTCATTAACTCTATTTAAGTTAATGAGTTCGAACCCATAGCCTCTATGAATAAAAAACTATCTTTCTCAAATAAAACCTAACTCCCAACATTAAGAAAATGTAAGAGAGAAGGGAGATTTGAGCTTAGGGAATGTACTTCAAGTAGTTAGAAGTTTCAAAATACTCCCAATGCTTTTAAACCCTAAGCCCTAGTAGAGGTTTCCACAAGCTCCTTGCTTCCTCTTTTGTTACTCTTCTATTTTTTGTTTGTTTTTGCATCTTATTTATACATATTTGTCAACGTGCGCAGTGACGCCTGTACCACAAGCAGTGGCATGTGGTACAGAGAAGGGATTCCTACGTTTTGATGGCCCGTGACATATGGCACAAAGTCATTTCTCTTTATTTTTTTATGCCCGGGTAACCTGACCTTACTCCGGACCTAATCCAGGGGCTAAAATCACAACCTAAAACACCTGTTAGTTCTTTATGACTACACACCACATAAATTTACTTAGTTATCCTCTTTTACTTAGTTAATTTAGGGTTAAATTATCTAGAATGTTACACGAATGGATATACTGGGTAGCAAGTTGTTTGCTTATCCCTCACTCACTGGGTCCCCAAGAATTGAACTAGATAAGATGCAAGGTTTTTTAATTTTTTACTCAACATCAAAATATATGTTTGATTACTTGACTTTTTGGACAGGTAACACCATTTCTTTGATGAAGTCATAAAAAAATAATTATATGATTGCTCGTATAAGGGCAGAGAAACACAATCCAACAACAGATCATTCACAACAAGGCTAATACCTAATAATAGCATCCCTTATCCAGCTTATGAGAGTATTAGCAACTATAATGGCTCTAAAAGTAAAAGAGTCAGCAACTACAGTTAAGCTTATTGAATTAGCCCTTTCAAGCCCGAAAATAATAAGAAATAGGCCACTATTTTAAGATAAGAAAGGGTAATTTAGGCTTAAAAAGTTGACCTAATGGACCTAAAAATAAAAGTGTTGACCCTCTTAAGTCCTATTATTGTTTTTTCTTAAAAATTTCAATTTTAAAAAATAAAAGATTAACTAACAATTTAATATATTTGCCACCGAGAAGACTCTATAAGAAGAAGAATCAAAATATATTGATATTGATAATAATGATAATGATAATTTTCAAGATTTTTGTTGATTATGCTAGCAAAGTTTAATTTTTATTGGTTTTGATTTTGATATTATTATTTAATATTAGACTTGGATGTTTAAGCTTTACATGTTTGTTGATTGTTGTGGAGTGAATTTATTTTTCTAGACTTAATCTTACGTGTAATAATTTTTTTAAGATTATAAATATATTTTTTAGATTTTTAAATTAAAAAAAAAATTTAGGAATGAGACTCGCTAGATTGACCCTTCAACTATGAGGGTCAGGGTTAAGTTTTGCAAAATAAAGCTCTAATATACAATTAAGCTTAATAGATCTGGCTCATTTAAGTTCTAACTTTTTAAGGATCAACCATTTATAATTGAACTTCTAATATTAAAAAAAATAAATTAACTTACTGGCCAAAAGATTTTTTATACCCAAAAAATATGAATTAAATTTTTAAAAATTTAAAAACATGGCCAATTTATATTAATATACAACATTGAAAATTTAGAACTTTATAAAAAATTTATTATTAATATATAATAATATATCATTGATAAATAAAATAAATTAGTTATAACATAAAATATAATAAATATTAAATTATTTATTTAATTTATTTTTATAATATGAACTATATCAGAAAAAGTCCAATGTTAAAATGCCACCTCAATGTCTCACTTTTATTGTTTTATTTCCTTTATTTCGCTCTCATGCGTCAAGATCGCATACGGCATACCCAGGGTCATCCGATTCTTTTTCCACGTGTATTTTAAGTTGGGCCTGTCCTTTGCCCTCATTTTGCTTTTGAAGAGTGTAGACTGTGCTTACTTCTTTGTCCTTTACCTTGAGGGGATTAGAGACCAGGATTGCAGTACAGCTGGATCAGACGGAGTAACAGGACGATGCCCCTCCCTCACGTTTTTGGTTCTACCGACCACCTGGCCCCTTCCATATTTACCCCTATCTTTTCATTAAAAATAAATGAAAAAATATTAAAATTAAACAACTCTTTTTAAGTTAAACTTTGATTTGATGGGCATAAAACCTATTCCTGCAATGCTATTATGCCACCGGTCACAACCGACCTGTATACTCTGAGAAGAGAGACACCCTGGACTACAGCCCCTAAGGTTAGTTCTAAATCTCTGTTGCGTGTTCGCTGCATTTCTTGCCAGTTTTACCGATACATCTTACATTAATTCTTTTATTTGGTGTGAGTAGTTGTTGAAGGTTGAAAACTTTGCCTCTTCCCCCTGGTGAGTGGTAGTTAAAGTTGATGAAATGGGTTTACTCCTTCTCTTGTTTTTTGATTTGACGGGCCCTTTTTCTTCCCATTGCCTTTTATTCATAATCGTAAAGTACAAGCTTGTCTAACTATGTTCTGCACCTCACTTCAGCAAATGCATTTTGTTTTAAGGCTTACCTTGTTGCCTTCTTCGTCTCTGTCCCTGTTTGGTGGTCTAGAAGAAGCATGCATGCATAAAATAAAACCTGTTCTGTATTTACACGAAAGCTGTTCCCCCCTTTTCTTCTAACTTGTTTGCTTCCATTTTTCACCGTTTGGCGAATACAACACAAGTTTTTGTTCTTCTTTCTACCATTTGTTCATTTGGGTGTAACATTTTTCTTTTCGCTATACGGGTTCTGATATTTCTTCAAAACAGATTGTTTTTGCTTTTCCTTAAAGGACTCGGTGGAGGCAATCAGTACTCTTGTTTAAGATCGCTGCAAGTGGTAAGGTCCTTTTATTATCGTTTCTTCTTGATTGCTTCTTTACTTCCTTACCCTTGCTTCGGATCATATTCCGCGAGTACTTCATTTCCTTTATATACTTACGTCGAGATCCTGTGAAAGGGTAAGATCGAAAGAATATCTATTCAATTGTGTTTTAATACATGACTTTGTCATATTTGCAGGTTTGGTTATTGTAGTGTACTCTAGAAACGATGCAGAAGCCGCCACAGCCTCAAGAGTTTGCCCTCAAGGAGACCTCCCCCAAAATTGGGGCAGGGTCCTTCACAGGGGACAAGCTGTCATGCACCTATGACCTTGTGGAACAAATGCTGCATCTGTATGTTCGTGTGGTGAAAGCCAAGGATTTACCGGGGAAGGATGTCACCGGTAGTTTGGACCCCTATGTGGAAGTGAAACTTGGGAACTACAAGGGCCTTACCAAGCATTTTGAGAAGAAGTCGAATCCTGAGTGGAACCAGGTTTTTGCCTTCTCAAAAGATCGAATTCAAGCTTCAGTTTTGGAGGTGGTTGTGAAGGATAAGGATGTTGTCGTGGATGACTTTGTAGGGAGAGTCTTGTTCGACTTGAATGAAATCCCAAAGCGTGTTCCCCCTGACAGTCCACTGGCTCCACAATGGTACAGGCTAGAAGACCGGAAGGGTGTTAAGGCTAAGGGAGAGATAATGCTGGCTGTATGGATGGGAACACAAGCAGATGAGGCATTTCCTGATTCATGGCACTCTGACGCAGCATCAGTTGGCCCAGAAGCAGTTGCAAACATAAGATCCAAGGTTTACCTTTCTCCCAAGCTTTGGTATGTGAGGGTCAATGTTATTGAAGCTCAAGACTTGGTACCGAATGATAAAACCCGGTATCCTGAAGTGTTAGTGAAGGTGAACCTAGGAAACCAGTTTTTGAGAACTAGAATATCTCCAAGTAAGACTATAAATCCTATGTGGAATGAGGACTTGATGCTTGTGGCTGCTGAACCATTTGAGGAGCCTTTGATACTGACTGTGGAAGACAGAGTTGGACCAAACAAAGATGAAATCTTGGGAAGGTGTGTGATTCCCCTACAAATTGTGCAAAGGAGGTTAGACCATAAGCCTGTGAACACTAGGTGGTTCAATCTTGAGAGGCATGCGGTTGTTGAAGGGGAACAGAAGAAGGAGACCAAATTTGCTAGTAGGATACATTTGAGGGTGTGTTTGGATGGTGGGTATCATGTGCTGGATGAATCAACTCATTACAGCAGTGATCTCAGGCCAACTGCAAAACAGCTTTGGAAGTCTAGCATCGGAATTTTGGAAGTTGGGATTATTAGCGCGCAAGGGCTGATGCCAATGAAGACAAGAGATGGTCGTGGAATGACCGATGCTTATTGTGTAGCTAAATATGGGCAGAAATGGATCCGCACGAGGACAATTGCAGATAGCTTTGCTCCAAAGTGGAATGAGCAGTATACTTGGGAAGTTTTTGATCCATGTACTGTTATCACAATAGGGGTTTTTGATAATGGTCATATACAGGGAGGAGACAAGTCTGGAGGATCAAAGGATTTAAAGATAGGGAAGGTGAGGATTCGGCTGTCCACTCTTGAATCAGAGAGAGTTTATACACACTCATACCCTCTTCTGGTGCTGCATACTTCAGGTGTGAAGAAAATGGGGGAACTGCAATTGGCTGTGAGGTTCACAGGCTCATCTTTATTTAATATGTTGTATATGTATTCACAACCATTGTTGCCCAAGATGCACTACATCCATCCTCTATCCGTGATTCAGCTGGACAGTCTGAGGCATCAGGCCACGCAGATTGTATCCATGAGGTTGAGCCGTGCTGAGCCACCTCTAAGGAAAGAGGTGGTGGAATACATGCTCGATGTAGATTCACATATGTGGAGTATGAGAAGAAGCAAAGCTAATTTCTTTAGAATAATGAAAGTTCTGGGCGGGTTAATTGCCATAGGGAGGTGGTTTGATCAGATCTGCAATTGGAGGAACCCTCTCACAACCATCCTGATTCATATCCTCTTCATAATATTGGTTCTTTACCCGGAGCTGATACTTCCCACAATATTCTTGTACCTATTCTTGATTGGAATATGGAATTTCCGGTGGAGGCCAAGACACCCTCCCCACATGGACACCAGACTGTCCCACGCTGATGTTGCTCATCCTGATGAACTGGATGAAGAGTTTGATACATTCCCAACTTCTCGGTCATCGGATGTTGTTAGAATGAGGTACGATCGTTTGAGAAGCATAGCAGGTAGGGTTCAAACTGTTGTAGGTGACTTGGCCACTCAAGGAGAGAGGTTTCAGAATTTGTTGAGCTGGAGAGATCCAAGGGCCACCACTCTGTTTGTGACGTTCTGTTTCATTGCTGCTATAGTTCTGTATGTTACTCCCTTCCAAGTGGTGTGCCTTCTCTTAGGCTTCTATGTGCTGAGGCATCCCCGGTTCCGTCAAAAACTTCCATCAGTTTCCCTCAACTTCTTCAGGAGGATGCCTGCCAGATCAGATAGCTTGTTGTGAACCCTTGCATCAACATTTAGCTGCTTCAACTTCTGGGGAGAAACAATTATGCAAATGCAACATGCTGTTTCACATTTTGTTCATTTAATTTTAAGTAATCAGTGAATTTTAGTTCCTTTCTGTCATGTTTCTTCACTTCCTTGCCTGCTTGATCAGATAGCTGCTTCTCAACATGCTCTTTTCGTAACGTAAATTAACACGATGCTAAATTTCATACTACAGTCCAGTGCTTTCTTGGTGCTGAAAAATAAGGCCCATTATCTCACGATTCTATTACATACAGCATAGCATTTGCTTAACAGTGTTTTCCATAGTATATGATCTACTGTATATAAGTGGATTCTCTGTTTTTCATGCATATATTTCCTTTCTGAAACTACACAGCAAGGAAAATTCTTCATAAAACGTGCTTGTTCTCCACACACCCCCCCCCCCAAAAAAAAAAAAAAAAAACAGGTTCATCACCGTACTCATTTTGGCTTGAAGCAACAGTATCGCTTACCTCCTCCTGGGGCACCATCTGGCAACACCCAACACCTCCGAATCCATTTATCTCTAACTCGAAACATTGATTTGGAATTTTGGGTGGTGTCATTTTCGTGGAAAGTTGCCGGCGGGCTGCACATATCTTATTTGATTGTGTTGGGGAATTTAATCATCCCCACAACATGATGACCTCCACCACATTCCTAACCTGGTTTATGCGACTCGTTAATAAGCCTTGCTACGTCAGTTTTTCGCAAAGTCGTCTGCAAGAGTTAGTACAAAATGCATGTATGGCCATAGTCTGGAATGCTTGATTTTAGTCAAAACCAAAGTAAGATGAAACAAAAGGCAAGACATCAAATTAAAACTTACAAGGACCCTCTCTACTGACGCATGTTGCGTTGTCCCAACACATCCATTACTTAATTAATGCCTTTTTCATTCTCAGTGCTGTTTACCGATTATGAACGCGCTTCACCTCTTACTTCAACTTGGGCTGCAAAATGAACTCGTTATTTTTACCGCTCGTTCACTGATTGATTACGTTAAAATTACTTAATGTACTACAGTATGTATTTTGGATTTAGATTTGGTCAATCATTGTACTTCTTTTTTTAAAAAACTATGCTACTTCAATAAACCTGCAGAAATCAAGAGACTGCATGATGACATGGCTTTTTCATGCAATTACTTTTACATGTGCCAAGTGGCATCTCCCAAACGCTACATAGGACTTGCTGCATTCCAGACTTTTTGTTTCAATTTACACAAAAGTCGTTTTCATCAAAAAGGCACCCTTGGCATCTCATTCATCATCATCATATTATTTGACTTTATAATAAGTTCTCGTTTGTGTTCTATATATATTAAGTCATTTTCATTCATCGTTACCGCACGCAAAAATATGGAAAAGAAGCTCACTTTCCTTATTTAAGTATGGGCAAATTGGTTCTGCCATGTTGTCAAATTTCTAATATACCAGATAGTGTTGATCAACCACACATTGATAATTATATTAAATGAGTGTTTTGGCACCAAAGCCTTGTTCTCCCTTATAATTATGGAGTGGCAAGTGGAACCCCACCCTCAGAACTTACGCCGGCTCTTTACATTGGACATTGCATTGTAATTAAAAAGAAAGACGTCGAATGAAATTGTATATGGAGGGATATGAGAGGAGGAACGATGTGAAAGGAAATATATCATTGATGAATGTTAATTAATTTTAGGGACGTGTCATAATACGCCTCTCGTATCAAGATCCCTCAGACCTGCATTATTATTAGGGAGAATGGTATTAAAGTTTTACGTAAGGGAATTAATTACTATAAGATTCATTAGTAATTAATTCCCTTGTGTGAGACTAAATTGTAATTCTTCCTTATTATTATTATTATTATTATTATTATTGTTATTATTGTAAATTCAACGGACGGTTTGTACAGTTCTAAGGTAACTTTGCTGATGAGTATATACTCTCTCTTTTTTAGGAAAAAGTAAAATGCAAGCATATTCCGCATGATTCCAAAAGATTTCCTCTATTTTTTCTCGAAATTGGATACCGAGAGGCTTATATATATATATATATATATATATATATTAACTGACACAGGCTAATCTTGGTTGCATCAACTCCCAAACCCGTTCTTTTCAAAACCTCTACCAGTTGCTCTATGGCTAAGGAAAAAAAAAAATCTTATTAAAAAAGATAACAAAAAATTTATAAAAAAAATTTAATTTAATACTTCTGGCCAAAAAAAAAAAATCGGTTATTCCTCATTCCATTCAACGTATATGAGAGGGAAAAAAGTTTTGACGTGAGATAGGAATCGGTTGGTTGGTTTATTTTTTCTTCTTCTAACTATTGGTTTAGTTGATCCCCAACTGTTCCCGCGCCATTTCTGAGTTCATGGCACAAGAAAATAAGAGGGGATACATGGTCGGCTTTGGAACTTACGCCCTTGTAGCCTGGATTCCCGTAAGAACTCTTTATTCGCACCCCATAGAAGCGTAAGCGGTGTGCTGCATGTGGATTCTTATACGGAAATGCTCAAATTGTCACTGTTGAGGCGGATTCTTCGAATGTTGTCGCTAATACATTGGGATCAGGGGCGAATATCTTGTAGCCTGTTAGACGGTGAGTTTCTCGTAGTCCTCGAAAGGAAAGAGACTCGCCGAATATGAACAGTGCGGTGATTTGTCTATACTTGTTGACGGCATGCAACCTTGGACCCTGTTTATATAAATATTATAAGAATGAGCTCTGTAACTTAACTTCCAATTCCATGAGTGCAGTAACGGCCTTTTTCTCTCACTCGCTTGCTTACTTTTTCTCACTAGTCATCTCGCTTCCACTTGGAGCAACTCCGTGCAATTCCGTCACCGAGGTTAGTATTGTCTTCCGTGGATGTCTTTCGCGCGTTACTTGATACATCCATTTATCTTTCCCTCATCATCCTACGTTTGACCATTTGCCTTTGATCCCTGGGAGAGATCGTTCATTTAGTAGCATTGACAAAGAACAAACAGAGGAAGAACTGCTGCTGACGACAGCCAGTTCAACATTTCTCATCACATAAATGTCTTCACACAATTTTGTTGCATGTTTTCATACGCCTTCCGTGCTCAGTTCTACTACTTTTAGGTTACAGTGGCTCTGTAATTGCAGGAATAGGCATTGTGCGAAGTTGATTGACAAATCTTGACGAAGAAGGATACACTCTTGAAGGTATAATCTCTTAAGCTCTTATTTTTTAGTGTTTCTGGCAAGTAAGCCGTCCATCTGGGTTTCAGCAACTACCTATGACTAGAGTAGAGTTTCTTTTTTCCTTTTTCCTTGGTTTTCTCTTGCCTTCTAAACTTTGCGTAATTCTTATTGTAAACTTGTGCGGGACAGAGCATGTTTTTCTATCAATTGATATTGTGGACTGTCAGTAGATTATTCTCTTTACTTAGACGCCTTTTACTCTTGGGACCAAGACTATTGATCTGGAGTCTGCACCTTAGGTAATAGCTAATTAGCTATATCTGTTTTATTGATGTTACAAAGCCTGTCTCTTACATTAGCTTCAGTTTAGGGCGAACATATTTGAGTTTCATCTTAAATTTTTCTCAAGTCTTTCAGGAATCAGCTTATCATTCTCTTGTTATTACACAATGTTAACTCCATATTCTTTGGTATTATTGGGCCTTTGTAAAACGAAAGGGTTGAATGACATATTATGCAAACAACTCCGATAGGTTCCACGGACAAGAAGTGTGGAATCCAGAGAAGATGGATCCAGTAAGGTCAATAGAAGACCAGTTCTCCAAGTTGCATCCATCCTTGCCAGTAAACACGCGAATTGGAATTGTGGGGGGTGGTCCAAGTGGCTTGTCAGCTGCTTATGCATTGTGCAGGCTTGGTTATAAAGACGTGACCGTGTTGGAGAAGCATCATGCAGTTGGTGGCATGTGCGAATCAGTGGAAATTGAAGGTAAAGCTTGTTAGCAATCTCTAGCTCATTCATGTCATTAATACTTGAATCTTGACAATATGTTGAATCTCTATTTATACAGGGAAGGTTTATGACTTGGGCGGGCAAGTTCTTGCTGCAAGTAGCGCTCCTGTCATTTTTCACTTGGCAAAAGAGACAGGGTCTGTATTAGAAGAAATGGATTCCCACAAGCTTGCTGTTATTGAATGTTCTACTGGAAATTATCAAGATATTAAAGTTGCAGATGATTACGTATCTGTGATGTCACTTACATTGGAAATCCAAGTAAGCCTCCACTATAAGCCCATACTACACAATGACTTGAAAGTTGAAACCTATTTATTCCTTTTGCGCTACTGACAGGAAAAGGTAAAGAATTCTGATCGTATTGGTGTCCACGCTGTTAGTGAACTTGCTTCGGACTTAAGTCCGGAATATATTGAGCGATATGGACTCAAATTTGTTCCTAAATCCGTAGCCTATGGTTACACCGCTTCAGGATATGGGTTTGTTCAAGATATGCCATACGCGTATCTTCATGAATTTACCAGAACGTCAATGGCGGGAAAAATTAGACGTTTTAAAGGTGGATATACAAGTCTTTGGCAGAAGATTGCTGAATCGCTTCCACTGAAACTTCACTGCAACACTGAAGTGTTGGCCGTCAGACGCAACTCTGAAGGCGTCACCGTTAATGCCAAAAATTCTGATGAAGTTAAAACAATGGAGTTTGACAAGATTATAATCTCGGGAAATTTTCCATTAAAATATGGAAGAACTTATAGATCCTTACCTTCAACTTGCATAGGTATGTAAATTTATTGCTCTTCAGTATTTACATAAGGTTTTTGTGGCTTTGTCCCACCGTTACCTAATGAGGAAGTCTTGTGGGCAGAGCAAGAAGCTGAAGTCATGGATGTCAGTGATCTTGAAAGGGATTTATTCAGCAAAGTAGAGACAAATGACTACTACACTACTGTTTTGAAGATTAACGGGCTCGAGGATATGCCTATTGGATTTTATTATTTTAGGGAGTTTATGGAAGATCCTAGTACAATTGGAAATCCAGTTGCGTTGCAGAAATTCTATGCTGACACTGATATATTCTTGCTATGGTCATATGGCAACTCTGCTGACATTAAGGGACCAATTGTCACTGAGCTTGCGATCAATGCAGTAGAAGCCATTGGAGGAGAAGTTGAGAATGTGATTCTTCAACGTCGTTTCAAGTATTTCCCTCATGTTAGCGGTCAAGGTATTTCAATTTTCAATAGTTTCTCTATTTTGTTTTCCTTCACCTAGCAAGTGTACTAATTTCTAGAGTTTGAAAGCAGATATGAAAGATGGCTTCTATGACAAATTTGAATTGGAACTTCAAGGTTCGAGGAATACTTACTATGTAGGTGGACTTATGGCGTTTGAGCTTACAGAGAGAAATTCATCTTATGCAATTGCTTTAGTCTGCAAGAACTTTGGGACTAACAATGACCTGCCAATATTTCCTTACACTAAGGTAATTTGGCATTGTGCATATTTAAGCTAATCAATAGCTAGGAAATGTCGAACTTTTATGAACTCTATATATTCAAGTTAATATAACAGGCCTGCACTTACTATAAGCTTGTCTTTTGCAGAGTTTGTTTCCCTTGCAAATGAAAGGCATGATAAAAGATCCAAAAGAATTAGGCGAATTGCCAGGAATACAATTTTCTGATTTGCCTAATTTGAGCGGTTATTTGAAGTACTGGGGAACTCATTCTGTTACTCGAAACAAAACTCTCTACACTTGGATTAATGAAGAAGGGGTTGTGATGTGCCAAAGGACCTATGGAGAGCTTTACTCAAATGCCAATTGCATTGCTCAAAAGCTATTAACATGCCAAAAACCATTTATCAAACCTGGAGACAGGGTTTTAATGATCTACGTTCCTGGTTTGGATTTCATTGATGCCTTCTTTGGATGTCTAAGCGCTAAAGTCATACCAGTTCCTGTTCTTCCCCCAGATCCAATGCAAAGCAGTGGGCAAGCACTTATGAAGATTGAAATTATTGCTAAATCATGTGGCATAGTAGCAATTTTGTCAACAACAGCTTATCATTCAGCAGTCCGTGCAGGGTCAATGAAAAATTTAATCTCACTAAGTAGAAAAGGTGGGAGGGCTTCGGCTCAGTGGCCTAATCTTCCATGGCTGCACACGGATACTTGGGTCAAGAACTTCAAGAACCAGAGTATGGAATGTCTAGCTGATCAATCTGATCCTCAACCTAATGATATTTGTTTTTTGCAATTCACATCAGGATCGACTGGTGATGCTAAAGGAGTAATGATAACTCATGGGGGTCTGATTCATAACGTGAAGTTGATGCGAAGACAATATAAAAGCAGCTCAAGAACAGTACTTGTTAGTTGGCTTCCTCAGTATCATGACATGGGGCTTATTGGCGGACTCTTTACATCTCTTGTTAGTGGTGGTACAGCCATTCTTTTCTCTCCAATGACATTTATCAAGAAGCCACTTTTATGGCTTGAAACTATCAGCAAGTATCAAGCAACTCATAGCGCTGGCCCTAACTTTGCCTTCGAGTTATTGATTCGAAGGCTAGAGTCTGACAAAGATAAGCTTCAAAATTTAGACCTGACGTCTATGATGTTTCTCATGGTTGCAGCTGAGCCCGTGAGACAAAAGACTTTGAAAAGATTTATTGAACTAACTAGTACTCTTGGCTTATCTCAGAAGGTTATGGCTCCCGGATATGGCTTAGCAGAAAATTGTGTGTTCGTTAGTTGTGCGTTTGGAGAAGGTCACCCTATTATTGTTGATTGGCAAGCAAGAGTTTGTTGCGGGTACGTTCACCCAGGGGATGCAGATATAGACATTAGAATAGTTGATCCGGAGACTGGTGAAGAGCTTCAAGAAGATGGGAAGGAGGGAGAAATATGGATTAGTAGTCCGAGTGTAGGAATAGGATATTGGGGAAAGGAAGAATTGAGTCAAAAAACTTTCAGGAATGAGCTTGAAAACCACCCTGGACGTAACTACGCAAGGACTGGAGATTTGGGACGAGTAATAGATCAAAAGTTGTTCATCACTGGCAGAATCAAAGACCTTATCATTGTTGCTGGAAGAAATATTTACTCGGCAGACGTTGAAAAAACAGTTGAAAGCTCATCTGAGCTTCTTCGTCCAGGGTGTTGTGCTGTCATTGGTGTCCCTGAGGAAACCCTATCAGCAAAGGGAATTTCCATTCCAGATGGTTCTGACCAGGTTGGCCTCGTTGTGATTGCAGAAGTAAGAGACGGCAAACCAGTTGGCAAAGAAGTGATCCGGCAAATTCAAAATCGTGTGGCAGAAGAACATGGAGTCTCTGTTGCTTCAGTCAAGTTGGTCAAGCCTAGAACCATTAGTAAAACAACCTCAGGAAAGATCAAGAGATTTGAATGCCTAAAGCAATTTACAGATGGAACATTGAACTTGGCACCGCAACCACTTTTGACAAAGAAAACATTAGCACGATCATTCACTACAGGAACATGTAGGGAAGGATATACACCTCGACCCCAACTAGTGCTAAATAAAAATCTAAGCAGTCCAAGAATCAGCAACGAACAAATTGTGGAATTCCTGAAGGGGCTTATTTCTGAGCAATCAGGTATTTCAATTGATAACATCTCAATTACAGACAACCTAACATCATATGGAATTGACTCGATAGGTGTGGTCAAAGCAACTCAAAAGCTCTCTGATTTCTTGGGAGTGCCAGTAGCAGCTATCGATGTCTTCGCTGCGTCCTGCATTCTCGAGTTGGCTAATTTCTCAGAGAATCTTCTATTGAAGTCTCAACCTCAACTTGGGAACAATCCATCCCATGTTGCAGAACTTGAGATTGATTCTTCTGAATTGATTGTGGATGTTACCAGATCTCGCCAATTTGGCATTCGTTTCCTCCAGCTCTTGGCACTCATTTATATGTCTGTCATTCTAGTTTTTCCCACATATCTATCTATCACTACCATTTTGGGTTTCATCCAGAGAGTTAGTAAATTAGTAGACGGGATACCCTGGTTGAGTTATTTGATTTCTTTGTCTTTTGCACCTCTTGCTTGGATCCTTTGCATTGGTTCCACTTGTATTTGCATTTCATTGTTCGGGACTTCTTTCCTGAGGCCAAATTATACCCTTGCCCCTGAAATCTCCATTTATTCTGTGGATTTCATCAAGTGGTGGGCACTTTATAAAATGCAAGAAATCTCTTCTAAAGTTCTGGCGGTACATCTTAGAGGAACAATATTTCTGAAATATTGGTTTGAGATGCTTGGTGCAAGAATTGGATCTGCAGTTCTGTTGGATACAATTGACATCACAGACCCATCTCTAGTTTCAATTGGAGATAAAGTTGTCATTGCAGAAGGAGTTTTGCTCCAAAGCCATGAAGTAAAGAATGGACGTGTAAGTTTCTTTCCTATTAGGATCGGCAAAGGTTCTTCCATTGGGCCTTATGCTGTTCTACAAAAAGGAAGCGTTATTGGGGAAGGCATTGAAGTGCAACCTATGCAAAAGGTTGAAGCAGGCCAACAAGTGCTCAAAATGACAAGGCTTAACAATGTTTATAAGGTATGTTCGAATCTTGAATAATATTATAAGAAAACATTAAATTCACCACCTTGCATATTTTTAGTAACATATGATTAGTTTTGATTTCCTGTTTTGAGAACAATTTGTAATTTTCAAAACCATTGTAATAAACAAGTTGCTTGATAATATGTTTTTGGCGATCCATTCTGAAAAACAAGAAAATAGATGTATTCTTAAAAGCAAAACAAAAAAGCCGCGCAACTTTTAGACGTCTTGTCATCTTTCGTTTTGGCAAAATAAGGAAGAGGTGGGGAAGAAGTGTTTTCATTAATGTCAATCTTGTAAACATTGCAAAAAAATTGTGACTCTAGCCACGCCCTTCTTTTTTGTGTTCAGTGCAATGTTTCAAATGAATGTTGTTCCTTTTTATTTTATTTTAGAACTTGTTTTGAAAAATAATTCTATGGAACTATTTTTAAAATATAAAAACACAAAACAATATCAAAAAGGCCCATTAAGATTCTTTTTTCCCTTGCAATGTAATTTTTTTTTTTTTCAGTTTCATCACTTTTATATATGTTTTTTGGGAGTTGAATCTTATTTTATTTTTATCTTTTACTTTAGGGTCTATACTTACTAAAATTCATATGCATGTCTCCTTTTTTAGCATGAATGAAACACTTTTCTACATTATTGAAGTAACTTTATTGAGCCTGGTAACTGAAATTTTAACTACATTAACCAATGACTCTTTCAATTGCATTTCAGAACGCAGTACTACCTGTTGATACTAGTGAAACTGAACCTGCTGTTATCTACCATTTTATGGGAATCTATCTGATTGGTTTTTTGAATTCCCTTGCCGCTGCTATTGTCTACTTCCTATACATAAGGTTCTTCTCGAATCCCCCCTCATTTCAACACTTCACATTTATTTGCTTATCTGGAGCCTTCCACTGGATCCCATTTACCATCATAGCATATGCTACCATGTTTTCGTATGTCCCATCAAGTCCCATTATCTTTGCCATTTCATTTTCTTGTTTCTACTTGCTTCATGGTCTTATTCTCAGCTCTCTCACTTGCTCTTTGACTCGACTCCTGGCGTCTAGTCAAAAGCAAACCCATTTTAAAATATGGCTTCAACATAGAATCATCATTGCTTGCCACCTTAGATTTGCTAAACTTTTAACAGGAACAGAAGCCTTTTGCATGTATTTACGTCTTTTAGGTGCCAAAATTGGCAAGCAATGTTCTATTAGAGCCATCAACCCTGTTTCAAACCCAAATTTAATGTCAATTGGTGGGGGGGCCCATCTTGGTGATTTTTGTCGGATAATTACTGGGTTCTATTCTTCTAATGGGTATATTAGTGAAAAAGTCAAGATTCAAGATAATTCAGTTGTCGGGAGTCAAAGCCTTGTCCTCCCTGGTTCAACCATTGAAAAGAATGTCATTTTGGGTGCACTTTCAATTGCTCCAATGAATTCTTTGCTCCAAGAGGGTGGTGTGTACATTGGATCACAAACTCGAGTTGCTAATAGAAACTGTACAAATGCTTTGGATGAAAGGATAGAGGAGATGGACATGGGATACAAGAAATTGGTGTCTAATTTGGCTGCAAATTTGGCTGCCACGACTTTGAAAGTTAAAGCAAGATATTTTCATCGCACTGGAGTTAGCGGAAAGGGATACCTAAAACTATACAACAAGATAGAAGGCTTTCCACTACACAAGATTTTTCACGCTGGAAAAAGATACCCTATCATTGTTAGGCACAGCAACAGCTTGAGTGCTGATGATGATGCAAGGATCGACGCTCGCGGTGCAGCTTTAAAGATACTCTCCGAAGGTCCTACTTCTGAGTGTTCTCTCTATGACTTAACACTTAAAACGGGCAATGCATTCTATGCTCGCACTATTGCTGATTTCGCCAACTGGCTTGTTTGTGGACTTGATGCAAGAAAGGAGTTTGTTAAGCGAGTCCCACATGTTCGTGAAGCAGTGTGGAATTCTCTTCGGCATGCTGTCTCTTACGCTGAATTGCACTACTACTCAAACTTCTGTCGGCTAATTCGCTTTACAGATGGACAGGAAATGTATGTGAAGTTCAAGTTGCGGCCTTGGGACAAACGTATTAGCGAAGATTTCGGCAAGGTAGAGCCAAAAGGGATCCTTCCACCGGAGACAGGTGCTATTCCTAGGGATGAAAATGATGCACGTCCTTTACTTTTTCTTGCTGATGATTTCCAGCAACGTGTGAATTCTCCTAGCAGGGTTCAATACATTCTTCAAGTACAACTCCAACCAATACCAGATAATGAAGCCTCTCGTGACACTGTGCTAGACTGCACTAAACCATGGGACGAGAATGAGTTCCCATACATTGATGTTGGAGAGATAATCATCAATCAAATGCTTTCTACCGAAGAATCAGAGAGACTGGACTTTAATCCCTATCTTAAAAGCCATGAACTTGATGTCATTCATGCTACTTCGAGCTCCCAAAGTGCTTCAATTGATCACGGCCGTTCCTTGGTCTATGAGATTAGTCAGAAGCTAAGAAATAAAGAGCCACTCCCAGAGGCCTTGAGGAGCTTTATTGAGCAATCTGATGTGAAGATAGATCTATCAAAATGTCCAATGGCAGCTTCGACACAAAAAACAGAGTTGCAAGAAGTGAGCTTGACCAGAACATGGTATCAAACCTTGTTAGCAATTTGCATTCAACCATTATTACAAACCAGTCTACCTCATGTAGTGGTGGGTTTAGCAGTCTTCGGTCCTTTGAATTGGGTTGTACAACTGAAGAATGCCCAGAAACTCCCAGTCAATTGGCTGCTTCCTTTATGTTGGGTTTTCTCAGGTATCGTGGCAGCATTGGCATGTGTTGTTGCCAAATACGTGCTAGTGGGAAGGAAGAAAGCAGGTGAAACAGTGGCTATATGGAGTCAAAGGGTGACAATGGACAGCACATGGCAGGCGATCAGAACTGTGGTTGGAGATTATTTTATGGACATGGCAAGTGGTTCATTTTGGTTGGTGGTGTGGATGAAAATGATGGGCGCAGAGGTAGAAACAGAACGTGAGGCCTACGTAGACAGCATGGGAGTATTATTGAACCCGGAAATGGTAAAGATTGGGAATGGAGGATGCGTGGGAAGAGAAGCTTTGCTCTTTGGGCACATATATGAAGGAGAAGGCGGGGTGGTCAAGTTCGGAGAGATCGAGATTGGAGAAGAAGCATTTATAGGAAGTAGAGCGGTTGTGATGCCCGGCGTACAAGTGGAAAATGAGGGCAGCCTCAGTACGTTGTCTCTTGCCATGAAAGGAGAAGTCATTAGGTCTAAATAATGAGTAATATGATATGATAGTGAGAGTAATGACAGGATGTCGTCTGCTCATTCATCCCGTTTCTTTGTTCGGTTTCTTGTCTTTCACTAAAGCAATAAGAAAGCTGATCATTATCTGTACATGAATTTGGGAGCTTTCATCCAATTTTAATCAACAAAATGATTTTTATTTCAATAAGACCCACCTCCGTTTTATTTAGCAATCTTAAAATTCAAGCCATATTAGTCTCATTCAACTTGACATTTGTGATATGGGTGCCTTGTTCTTCACCACCCCGCAAACAATATTTACAAATGCATTTCAATCAACAAGTTGGAATGTGGTCGAGGTTTTTTTTTTTTTTAGGGGGGGTAAATTAAGGAAACTTCATTCATGAAGTAATCATGTCCAAACTAAGAAATACTAAAGAAAGATAAGACAAAAGGACCCTTCTAAGGAACCACAAAGAATCCAGATGAAGAGATACTTGATACAAATTAAAATCACAAGGAACACTATGTGCCAATTTAGCTAGATAGTCAACACCCGTGTTCTCTTCTCTATACAAAAAATGATGTTAACATTTCAATTTCTATGTAAAAGTCTTCTCGTAGCCTAAATAATGTAATACAGTTGCATATGTGATATGGGTGCCTCATTCTCCCCCACTACATAAAAAAGTATACAAGCAGACGGGTGACGGCCAAGCATAGGCCAATTCTAATTCTGCACTACTCAAACCCCATTCTACCCTCTCTCTTTTACTTGTTTCTTTTGTAAGTTTCAATCAATCATGGATGATCCTTGTTGTGCCTAATCTGGAATTTTTCGAGGAGGAAAATTGAATAAAAGAAATATAAATATTTGGAGTTATCATGAAAATTTTAAAAGGTAATTTTGGAACTATTTTTAACTATATGGTCCACTTATTGAGAAAAAGGTAAGGGAGTCGATTGTGTGCAGAGAAGGTATGAGGCATCCCTCAAAATCGATTCATATGAATAGTTATCTTAAGTTAACTATATAAATTTAAATGGCCTTAAAAATATTTTAATTATCCTTAACAAATAAGATAATCAAAAGAAAAAATTTTATTTATTTATAAATTGGACTTGATCTAGGATGAAATTTTAGGGCCTACGTATTATTTTAAGGGATTAAAGCTCATGTAGTTTGAGGTAAAAACGCATGTCTCTTGGCTGAAATTTTTTTAGGAAAAATATTAATTATTAATTTTTTTATAAAATAATTTTAATGTTGGTTTGTAGTTTTTATTTTTGAAAATATTTTATTTCTTTATTTGTGATAAAATTTTGAGAAACAATTTCAAGGAAAAAATTTTAATAAGATTTATGAAAATATCATGTATCCAAAATCCATCTTCCAAATATGATTTTTTATTTTAGAAAAACCTTTTATTTTTATTTAAGGATAAAATATTTTAAAATGTGTACTCACGATAATTTATCTCTATGTAGCATAAGTTTTTAACTTATAAATCTGTGAGGACTCTGAAAATTTCATGAAATTGATTATTTCAAAACTATATACATGTAAAAATTTATCGCTATGGAGGATTGTAAATTAATTAATTTATAAGCCTGCATGGACTCTGAAAATCTCACATAGTCAAAAAGATATAAAACACTTTTAATAATATACTATGATAATGTATCGCTATTGGTGTGTGTATATTACAATCAAATTCCATAATAATAATAATAATTGTTATATAAGACATGCAGAGACTAGAAATTATATTCTATTTGGAAATTCATCAAAGAATTATATTGAAACCCAACAATCATATCACGTTATTATAGCATATAGCATAAAAGAAGAAAAGTTTAACATGTGAAGACACAAGATGAAGAAGAACAAAATTGGAAATCATGACCTCACGCACACGATGTTTGAGTACACGAGGACAAAAGATTGCAATTTAATTAGAAGATCACAATGGAAGTTTAGAACGATTATAGACTCAATTTTATAAAATACTTGATCAATGTAAAAGTATGAAAGATGAATTTACCTCTAGAAATTTATGTTAATTTTTTTTTTCTATCTTTTTTCTCACACAGTTTTCTTGAGTTTATTTAACTATCTCTTTATGATTTACCTTTGCTTTTCTTTATATAGACCCCAATATTTAGAGTTTTTCTAAAATCTTAATTATATTGTGATTTATATTAATATTTTTATATATTCTTTTGTTATTATTATTTGGAGATTAATTGTTATATTACCTATTATTATATTTCAATTATTATATTATTTTAAAATCTTCAAATCTTAATATTAAATTATATTTTATTCTGATAATTTTATTATTTGAGATATTCAAATCTTTATAGCTCATTACTATATTAGATCATAATCTAGTTTGATTATATATGTGTCATTTTTATTATTTTCATATCCAATACCTTTTAAATTTTTATTTATTTATTTTTTTGTTATAAAATATTTTCCTATTTTTTATTTTCTATTTTCTCTTTTTTATTATTTTATTATGGATGTTAATTTATTTATTTATTAGGGCCCGGATGAAATATGATATTCACATTCCTCCTAGTAAAATTGGTAAAATAGACTCTCTCAAATTAATATTCGTCATCATAAGTCTTCCCCTATTTTAACACTAAAAGGAAATTTTAAACCGGCAAAATTTCCCCCCTTCCCCTCAACTCTCTTTTCATAGTCTCCAAAGTTTGGTGATTGTTATCCTATCTCTTCGTAGCTCCATAAATATGGCCTATGGCCTTCCTCAAAACCGTAGTTATAAAAATCAAAGGACGGGTCAAAATTTAACATTTAATACTTTTGATTCGTTGTAGAACATTAGAGGATCAATTATTAAATTCAAAGCTATAATAATGACAGAAACCCTAAATTCATTAATTAGGGATGTTTTAAATGATTAAGAAGTCTTAAAGGCAAATTAAATTCTAGAAGACTAAAGAAAAACTTTTAGCATATTTGACTCAACCCAAGATACTCAAACCCATAAGTCGAATTAGTTTAGTTATTATTATTTTCTTAAATTTAGAAAATTAGTTTCTTTTATTTTATTTTCATATTGAATTTTGGAAAAATTAATTTATTTTATTTAGGATATGATCTATTCATTTGGAATCCTAGATCAACTAGGATTATGTCATTTAAGTTTTTAGAAGCTTATTTAAACAGTTGCTACTTCGATTAGTATTATTTTTCGTGAGATAATATACTCTGGGATTTTTAATTATTGTGAGTTGTCGTTTGGTTGCCTTGTATCATCTCGTTGGGACATTGAGCATTATGATCCCAACTATTTTTTACTGAATCCTCTGCTTCCTTGTGAGTTTATGGATATCCCTATATGCTATCCCTTTGTTTTTTCAGACGTATGTCCATTGAACTAGTGCAGGTCTCTCTCGCGCGATAGCCCTAGTAAGGAACAGAGTCCCTTCAACAGCTTCTTCAAGCACAAAGGTTTACAACTATATATTGTATGGTTTTTTGAATCCACGAACTCGTAAAAACTGAAAACAGGAACAGGAAACCACCTCTTGCTTCAATGTATTTTATTTTACCAAGGATTTCTACATTCTAAAGGTTCGCAAATTTGGGGAAGCTTCCGTAGGCACAGCAGTAGGGTCAGCAAGGGAAGTTCCAACCCCGATCCTCTTCATCGCTACGAGGACCCCACTGGCCCTTGAGTTGATACCCACTGTTGGAGCATAGGGTTTTAACCTAGACGCTTTCTAACCTATGTTGCACTGCCCTGCTTCTGCATGATCGACGCTTAAATACCTTATAACGCTTTATATACTTTCCATTTCCCGTATTGCTTTGTTCAAATGTAGCCTCGTATTCTCGGAGACAACACCACATCTTTCAATGCGGGGTTCATATTATCGGTGAAGGTTTAACACTGCCTAATGAGTGGGTGTGAATTAAGTGCTATAACCATTGCTTGTTCTATAAGCATGTCTTGTTCTGACTTTTGAGGGAAGGACCCCGAAGTCCTTTTCTTCTTGATAACAAAGACCCTATTTGGTAGGACTTAGGGGTGAGGGCGTGTAAATAACTCAAGAGGGTTTTGCCATTTCCATGGTATACCGAACATGGTTTTAAAAACTATTTTTTATTCTTGATTTTTTAAAATTCATCCTCTGTAGCGAATGAGACCAATATTGAAAAGAGTGAAACGAAAGAAGAGAAGGCACGAACGCAGTGAAAGATGCGGTTGTTTACTAGTTACTGGTGATTTCAGAATTTAAAAATTTAAAAAACAAAGCAGAAGGGCTTAAACGAGCTTATTCCTTGTCTCAAGGGTTTTAGGCCTTCACCCATTACAGCAGATATTTATGAATATATTTGTTGCTTAAAGGATTTAATTTATGGCCCGGCCCCTTGCAATTTTTGAACTAAATCATGAGAAGCATTCCCAAACGCACGATTCTAAACCCGGCACCAATAAATTATAGGAAAAAAAAAATATAATCATCAATTATTATGGTTTTATCATAATGTGCTTTTAATCTCTATAATTTTTTTTAATATTTTCAGTTTTTAAAAATTTTAGTAAAATTGAGTGACATTTATTTTTTAAGTTTTTATAATTTTAATATTTTTAGTTGTTATGAGGATTAAAAACAAAATTAAATTAATGATTATATTTTTTTTTAAATAATAAAAGAAAATTTTTATCACAGAATGGCATGTGATTATTGCTGCAGAAATGAAACATTACATGGTGATTTTTTGCCACCCGTTGTCTGGTTGCTGTGCTTGATTATGTGATGATTTGGTTGAATACGTGGCCTTTCCATTTTGCCTGTAACATCAGAGACTTGGGAGTCTAAAGTCTAAACGGACGAATCGAACTAGGGAGGGGCAACCCAAAATATCTGTGGAATCTTCTCTGCTTTTTTCCCCACTTCCAAGCAAATATCTCAATTCCTGCCCTTTTTGTATAAATATCAAAGCGCCTTCTCACTTTTCTGTTGCCCGCACGCTTTGCTTCCTCCTGCTTCCGAGGGCGCACTCACTGCGTGATCCCTCACATGTCTTCTTCAACCGCCCCGGCCACTACCAGCGACTCCTCTGACCTCTTTGAAACACCCATATTAGACAGCGAGTTTTCCGCTCTCCTCCACGCCATTTCCGAGCATGGAGGCTATGCTTTTGTCAGCATGGCTACCCTCGCCACCCTCGGCGACTTTCGAGCCGCCGAGGCTGCCCGTGAGATGGCCTGGGAGCAGCTACACTCAGGGCCTCGTCACTCTGTCCTCCCAGTTTGGCGCGACGCCTACTCTATGGCTTGCCTTCACGTGGCCAAGCACCATTACAGCAGCGGTGACTTCAAGGAGGCTCTTAGGGCTTTGGATATGGGACTGATCATGGGGGGATCGCTTCTAAAGAATGACCTGAGCTCTGCTGTTGGCAGAGTCTCGGAGAGGGTCAGGAACATTAGGGCTTCCGGAGAAAGCCACGAAGGCTTCGGGAAGTCCGAGCAGCGACTTCTCGATCACGAACTTAATCAGGCCGAGGTGAGGCCCAACCATCTTGTTCCCTGATGGATGCGTTTCATGCAATGTTTTGCTAAATCTATAAATGGTTATTTCTATTTGGTGCATGAATCCTCTGAAGGCCTTGTTACTGAAGTTCTTGTATAGTTCAGGGAGAAAATGACACAAGGAGCACAAGTAGAACTGTTTACGGGGCTCACTTCCTCTTTCTTCTCCTAATCAAACTTTTCTCTCTTATCTCTGTAAGAATTTTACCATCAAGAACTCTAGAAAATCCTTAATCGGCAGTCAGCGCACATAAGAAAATGAGAGCATACTATTTGCAATCGTCGAATTGTATGCTGCCCTATCGATATTGAAATTTCAAAGTTCTTTTTTACGGTGCTTATGAAGCCAGATCTGACTGATATCTTTGTTTCCAAATATTTGTCACCCTTCTGATGTTTATATTATAGCTTTTGCACTTGTAGGTGTACAAACTTCTACCCTTGAACTCCCTTTCTCATAAAATCGTGGAGAAGAGGTCTGCTCTGTCATTGGAAAGGTTCCTGGAAGATTATTATCGGTCTGGTTCCCCGGTTATCATCAGTGATTGTATGGCTCACTGGCCAGCCAAGACAAAATGGAATGACATAGACTATTTGAAAAGGATTGCTGGTGATCGCACAATTCCAGTTGAGGTAATTTCTCTGCTTATATGGTTAAGTAAGCTGCTAGAGGGAAAATCTTATTTGAAAGATGTCCTTTGCACCGATTTGGTCCTCCAAGAAATTTTTATGTTAATTGATTGGTTACATCAATCTGGAAATTCGACTCATCTGAGAGGGAAATTTCATTGTCCATTTATTTGATTTACACTCTATTAGTTCTTAATAGGCTCATTTCAGGATTGATTGCTGAATATGAGGCATGCTTATTAAATCTGCGTTGACGATATTTGATGCATGTTTTATGCTGGCATTTAATAGACATGTTGTTCTAAGTTCTAACTTGTACCTCATCGCCCCTCTTTGTAAATTGTATTTACTAATTTTTCAATGGCCAATAACAATAACCGAATGTGCAATTAATCTATTTATGGTGCATCATTTTCGCTCATGCATATCTGAGATACATGCCTAAATAAAAGAACTAGAACTTTGCCACTTTGCATGCATCGTGGAGTAAAAGCATTACTTGCCTTTCATTCGTTCAATATAACCATAATGCACAATGAGTATAACACAAATCCACTCGCGCAGAGAGGAAGCGAGAGAAAGAACCTAATTTATTAATATTTTTTTTTATTAATATTACATTTGTTGCTATTGGGTGTATTGATAAAATTTAGCATGCTTTGAAGGTTGGAAAAAACCATTTATGTGCACAGTGGAAGAAAGAGTTAATTACATTTTCAGAGTTTCTTCAACGTATTGAGTCCCATGGCTGCTCTTCTGTGGGTCCTACATATCTTGCTCAGCATCCGCTATTTGATCAGGTATTTACTATTTATAATTTTTGAATCTTGGCAAACAAGATTAGACGTCAAACTGCTCATTTCATTCACTAACGTTGATGAAGTTGCAGATAAATGAGCTTCGGAAAGATATTTGTATTCCTGACTATTGTTTTGCTGGCGAAGGGGAGCTAAGGTGTCTCAATGCTTGGTTTGGTCCTGCTGGGATAGTAACACCATTACACCATGATCCACACCATCATATACTAGCTCAGGTGAGTTAATTGTAGTACTCTGGGCTGAATAATTACAACACAAAGCTGTGTTTTATCACATATATTCAGCTTATTATTACTGAGATTGACATCTCCAACATTTAGGAATGCTATTGCAGTATTAATGTGCTTTTTTAATTCTTCTTAGCTTGAGTTCCTCTAGATTATAATCTTAATTATAGGCTTCTAAAAATTCAGCATAACATGGATAACACACTTCTAGTTTGGCAAAAGACCAAGTTCTAATTTACTGTGGTATGGTCTTGAATGAGGCACTTAAATATATTTGGACAGTATTGTGGTTTCTAATATTTCCTTGCAACCAAAGGTATGTTGTTATCGCACATCCTTAAGATTTCTTTTTTTTCTTTTTTTCTTTTTTAAGTCCCTGGACACTGCATTGGATGCATGCTTATTTGACCATTTCTTCCTGGACACTGCCAAATTCTCATTTGTAAATTATTACCCGGCGACCTATTACATTATTAAACATCTACAGTATATTTGGCTGTTTAGTTGTAATGTACTTTCAGGTTGTGGGGAAGAAATATGTGAGGCTCTACTCTGCATCTTTGTCTAAGGAACTTTACCCTTACATCAAAACAACGCTCACGAATTCCAGCCAGGTATTTATTTATTTATTTTTCAATGTGAATTAATAACCTCCTGTGCATGATGCTTACGCATTTGCACACCATCATTACCATATACCATCATTTTCTCTCTCATTTTCCTGATGTTTGCTGAAAGTGTTCCTATCTCACTATATATATCTAGGAATTGCATGTTTCCACAACTTTTCTTTTTATCCTTGCAGCCAAGTCGATTCATGCCTCACTCAGTACTTATTATTTACAAACAAGTATTTCCCTTATTAGGTGTTTTGTGAGAATGAATCGATTATTAAGAAATGGGTTTTTTCCTGCTAATCTAAAACTTATTGTTGACTGCTAAATAAGATGAGAGTTCTTGAGAATAGAGTTTGGGGTTTTGTTCTGTTATATGGGGTATGCAAGAGAAAGTGATCGAGCCTAGTGGCCTACCAATGTGCGACAAACATATATGAAGTTTTAGATTCGGGAAGTTAATAAATTTTGTTGAATCAGTCAGAGTGGTTGAATGTGGTATGGTTCCCTGGTTTCCTATAACTGCAAGTTCTGTTTGACGAATGCATACCCTTGGCTCTCTAGATATTCATATGCTTGAGGTGAGGTGTGTGTCTGCTTTTTATCTTTATATATATATATATATATATATATCTGCATCCATTTTGATTGGAGGACTCTTATGTTTGAAGATTGATCCAGATAGCATAGATGAAAAGATGTTTCCTGGGGTGCAAGACTTGGAATTCGTAGACTGTATATTAGAGGAGGGTGAATTACTATATATCCCGCAAAAATGGTGGCACTATGTCCGCTCTCTAACTACAAGTTTCTCCGTTAGTTTTCGGTGGAGTAAGTCCGAAGGTTCAGCTACATCCTGATGTTTTATCGCTCATGTCATGTCTACCATTTTTTTCTTTGAAGATAACAGAAAAATCTAAGTGGAGGAGGGAGTATATTCTTCAATTGCGTTGTCGACATAACGTACCTATGCCCATTGCTCATTTGTATCACAAATTCACAATGGAAGTATAATCGTCGTGTACACAAGATTACTTTTGGCATTTAGTGCTAGTGCTACTATATCATTAAGCAAGGTTGTGAAATAGAGAGATCATCATATTCACTGTCTGGAGACAAGATTTATATATATATATATATATATATAGCTTGACTGTGGATCAGGCAGGGAAAACAAAATAAGCTTTATTGGGGAAGGTATGCACAAAACTTCTATGCATGCAAGCAAAGGCGGGGCTTTAACCGTGAACTGAGTCGCGAAACAAGCGGGAGAATATTTCTCATTAGAAATTTATAATCCAGTTCAGGAGCAAAATTCTCTGCGCCACCTTGTCTTAATCTTGTTTACTTCCTGCACTGCGGGTAATTACGACCAATACTTAAAGGGGGAAAATGGGTGCGCTAAATGGAACGCCAAGTATAATTACAACTGAAGTTAGAAGATCGAATTAGACTGCTTAGCAAGTTTCGTAGTCGAAGCGACATCTCCACGATGTATTGGAGTCTGTTTCCTCGCTCGCATGCCTACATAGGATTTCAGATAAGTTGATGTTATGTTTGAATGTATCTGGATTTGGGTCAATCATTTTGTTTAGGCATTTTAAAATTTATGGATTTAGATTTACTTGTGTGTGTGAATTTGAAATACATGGATCTTAAATTTGAGATTTGAAATTCAAGGTTTCAAATTCAAAATTCAAATATAAATTCACTAACCCAATACTACCTGAGATAATTTGTTAATCTGCTTTATTACAGAATTAGATCAGACGTGTGCCTCACCGGTTATCTGTATGAGGCGGTTCATTCATAGGACCGTGCTGCAGGTGCAAAAAAAAAAAAAAAAAACATGAAGTGAAACGTAAAACGTTTGAGATTATAGCCTGCGCTTTTCTGACCTGCTCAATGATAATCATCATGAATTCAAAGTCGACAACTGAGCGGACCAAACAACACAAGTGTAAACTGATACAAGTTATGCAGTTACTGTTACAGACCAAGAGGAGAAAGAAAATGAACTGTGAAATTAGGCTGCAGATTTGTACCTGCAAAGAACTTTACACTTTAATACACTATCCTGAACATAAAAACCTGGCATCACCATGAGCTTAACCCTGCTTGGACACTGTGACCTGTGCCTATTTTCCATTAACATATCTTCCATGTAATGAGGATCGAAGCTTGTATTCTCCTGAACCCTTAAAATTCCCAATGGCGGGTCGAAGGAAAATGCCAGCAAATGGAGTAACCACACGCATTTAGCTGCCACAAAGAAAGCTTGAAGTAGCTGTTCAGGCCAAGCTCTCGTCCAATTCAAAGTGGTTATAATGCTGCTCATTTTCTGGTCGCAGAACTTGCCAAAGTCTTCGCTGTAATATCTGGTTCCCTTTCTCAACACCTCATTCCAGCTCAAATTCCTGAGTGCTGCAAAAGATGAGAATTGGGCTTGGCGATCCTGTTGCGGGTCCAACAATCTTGGAGCCCCGTTCTTTTGAAACGCGCAATTCTCGAAGTCTTGGAAAAGACATTGATTTATGAGAGCTTCCAAATGGTATAATACCGCCTTTGAATACTTTGAATTCAGAGACAGTTTATATGGTTGAAGCAGCACATTTAAGTTGTTCATCAGGAACTGATCACTTTCATCAATCTGGCTTACTAGAGTCTTGCAAAATTGCCTCGCTGATAATCTTGTTTCTGACACAGTATGCAAGAAACCCTCCACCAAATCTTCTCCATTTGCATCAACTGATTTTCCTCTTTTGGGAAGATTATTAAGCTTTTCGTGAACCTGAGAATCCTTGGCCTGCGTTGCTTGTCTAAGAGCTTTCTTCAGCTCTTCGCAGTAGCTCTCCAGATACTCGAGCTTTTGTCTAAGCTCCCCCAATGAAGATTTCATCTCAGACACTTCCATTAACGCCGCGTCTCTGTTCTCATTTGCTTCAGTGAGCTCCTTCTTCAATGTCTCGATGGACAATATCCCCAAATCTTTAAGAACCTGAGAAACTTCCTCAGACTCTGTTCTGTTTGGGGAATTCTCATTCTTGTGCTTCTTCTTTAACCGAGGAAACAACCATGACATCACCCCCTTACCTCTGGGTTGTGATTGAACAGATGTGTGGGAATCCGTGAGGGGAACAACAATATTGGAGCTCTTCCTATTCCTTGTACCGTCATATTCGCTAGTTACGGTCGCAGGTTTACATTTATTGCAGGAAGACTCAGACCTGATGTCCTCCATACTGTTTCTTCTTCTAGACCTGAAGTAGTCATTAACGGGTGACGTTTGAAGAACATTGATGTGGTTTGCACTGGAACCAGTAACAGATTTGGTATCATCGGCGGGACATATATGAGATTCCATTTCCCAATTCAGAAATCCAGAAGTATGTCCCTTCCCTGAAGTTGATTTCTGCTTGTAATCTGGCAGAACAGTTTCTGTGAAGTTTCCTCCTTCTAGTGAATTCTCGTCCCAACTCTCTGATATTATTCGGCTTTTCACCGGGTTCTGGCGATAACCCGGAAGTGGGTCATCTTCATAGCTCTGTCAATGATTCTCAACTTTAGAAACTAGCCCTCGTTCAAGAGAAAAATAGAATCTTGAAAGGAAAAATAGAAAACACCCTGATAGATAATAAACATCACAATTATAAACCTGGCCTATTTTTGTTGTTGAAGTATGACTTTGCTGATCTTATAAGCCCCGTGACAGGAACACATCAAATTAAAGCAAGAATTATAAAAGAAAGATATAGAGCAACGATTGAGGACAAAAGAAAGACAGCACTGCTTTTTATTTATCCAGCTCATTCAAGTTTCAAGTTCAAGCACAAAGAAGTGTTAGAGAAAGGATATTAATAACAAGGCTTGAAAGAAGGCTTAGAATGGAAACGAACACAAGAACGGTGTGTAATGTCAGACGAAACAGTAGTGTTGACATGACCTGAAAACTAAAATAGAGGAATGAAGGAAAAATGATTGCTTACGGGAGTGAAAACAGGATAATCTTGCGCAGAAAACTGAGAGGCAGAGCGTGGAGGAGGGGCAGGAGATGGGAGTCTAGGATTTGCAGGGCTGCTTCCTTGTGTTAAAGCCGCATGAAGAGCTCTAAGCTCCACAGCTTTGGATATGGCGCTTTGAATTTCGTGCCTACTTATTTCAGAAGTGCCATTCTCTCTGTCTTGAAAAATCTGGGAAGGAGGAGCAGCCGCAGCCATGAAACAGAAGGAGGAGTGGATTGGGATATGAGTGAGTTGCAGAGAAGACGATATCTGTGGCAGAATGTGGGACAGCCAGAGAAATGGAACGAGAGACTGATAGAGGCGTCTCAAATCCAATGAGTTTTGTCCTTGTTCTCATGAGGAAATCAATGGAATGGGGAGGGTATGTGGAGAAGAGAAAGACAAGGAGGGGGGGGAGAGTAAATATGGGAGTGTGTATATATGGGAGCCGCAGGGGTTGAGTGTTTACTGTGAGGGCAGTTTAGGAACATAGCCGCGAATTTAAAAATTTACCGGAAAGCAACTTTATGTGGTGGTACCACTGTGCACATGATTGCTTGCAATTAGTACCAATCGTTACAACAAGTTCCCTTCCATGTCCACTAGGTTCCACCACCAAATCCATCTACGCTCGCGTTTCCTCCTTTCCTTTCCTATTAGGTTTCTCTCTCTTCTTGCCACCAAACCCTTGCTTTACCACTCTTCCACACTTGGGTCTGTAATCAATCATTGTTCACCGCCACTTTACCCCGGGATTCTTGCGTCATTTTAGAACCGGCTGAAGTCATTAATTTCCACTTGAGGAAGAAAAACATGGACTGATGAAATTTTATGACTCTCTTCATGCTCAATCGAATTACAAGTACCATCCCTCCGCCTCCATCACTTCCTCTGTTTCTCATTTTGTTTTCATCTGAATTTTAAATCTACCCTATCGGATTTCAGAAGCTTTATCTTTCTCTGAAAGGACATATCTCAATATTTCAAATTCACATGGTCGGCCTCACATTGGACAATTTCAAAGCGTTTAGCTCCCACAAGCTGATAATGTACCGTGAATTCAGCGTCTTCCCCTCGTTGTTTTCTTCTGGAGGTGCAGGCTTTTCGCCCCACAGAGAAACAAATATTGATAGCCTTCTCAACACTCTGCACGCCATGAATCTTACGACGAATAAGTTATTTGAGAAAATGTAAAATATTATTTTTGCTCGCAGGTCCGCACTCTTCCTTTTTCTTAATGAACGATGGTTGATGGAATGCCAAGTAGGACGAGGGAGGGCCAAACACGTTCAAAGGTTAGTAAGATTTATCAACCACCACATGGAAAAAGCCTCTTTTCTTGCTCAATTAACAACATTAGCACACTGTGCCGGAATTAAAGTGTGACGTTATCTATTCTTCAAATTATAAAACTCAAACATGTCACCAACTAGATAGGAATATATATATATATTTAAAAAAAAAAACAGGGTAGGTAGTTTAGCTATGTAAAAAAGCACAAACGCTTTTGGTGGATAAAGTGGTTGGGATTTTGATATATGTGTCTAGTCTTATTCTGACCAGCCAAGGATTTTCTGTTCGTACCTAAAACAAAACAAGATTAATCTGTTCTGGTAATGGAGGGTGTGTCATTCAACGAGAAGCCATTCCATGGGAAATTCTTACCGCCATGAGTTTTGTATTGATTTCTCTGTATTATGTGCGATTGTGCGTCAATGGCCATCCAATGGAAGCAATTAATTATGAATGACGGATTAGGCGGGGAAGGTAGCTTTTTGTTGTTTAATAATTGACTTCATTAGACAGGGATGGGGAAAAAGGATGCTTCGTAATAAGATAAACGAGGGCAAGTCTGTCATCCACGTCTAGTGGATTCAAAGCTGAGACAATACTAGTATCCCTCGACTTCTCTTGATTATTAAAAATTCAAAAATAAGGGGGACAACTTTATCACAATCATAGCTTTTTCCTGCCTTGTATTATAAGGAAATTCTGCTTCATCGAAGACAGAGAGAGAGACACAAACATGGGACCTTTCATGTCTTGTTGTCGGCGTCAGCCATTAAACAAATGCCATACCAGAAATCTTAAATATCATATCTGCTGCTTAGCCCAAACCCAATTTGAAATCCAGCACGGAATTGTGCCCCGGTTCGAGTGGGTCTTTCGTTTTCGCTGTCAGGTCAAGAGGTTAGGTTATGGTGTCTCTTTCTGAGTATCCAAAGCAATAAGAATAAAACAGGAAGCAGGAAAGAAACCATGGAAGCCAAAAGTACAATCAACTCCTCAGCAAAAGCAGATTCTCTCTCTACAGCAGGATGACAATAACGTGTAATGGAACCTTTCACGGGATCTCCACAAATATACTGCAAACTTTACGGGGTTTCAATCTACGTTATACTAACCGGACTCCTCCTTGTATCATGTCCCGGGTTTGTCCTGTTTTGCTTGTCCGTGTTCTTGCAGGACCAGATTCCCCCAGCTATATTATCGCGTGATTAACTTAAGCTCACTCCACCATTTCTTCTATTTTAATTTTAAATGCTCATACGGTTTTTACTTAACTTTGCCTTTTGTTGATTTTGTTTCTTTATGGGATATCCTGGTGCTGCGTGCAAACAACAATGTAAGGAAACATAGCACTGGAGGGAGGAAATTACCCTTGCTTCCTACTTCTAGTCTCAATTAACCTTCCGGGTCTGTCGGGCAACTAATGAGGTAGGAAGGAGTTTGGTTAAAAGTTTGGATTATGAACATAAGGAAATTTGAGCTCCCAAGAAAAAAAAAAGGTAAACAACAAAGCGCGCTCCTTCTCTTGAAACCCTCTGTATTCCAGGAAGAGAAGATTCAAGGAAGAATGACCATCAAGGACTTCCAAGGAAGGTTAACGCACTCTTCTTCTGCATGCGTGTTCTTATATGCATCAGTTTATTGAAATGTCGATACGAATTCAGAAAGTATAAATCGCCTGAGGGAGGAGGAGTGAAGGAGGACTTGTTCCAAGGACCAAGATGTTACGGGTCAATAAAATGTTGGGATTCCATTTACGGTAATTAGATTTAGGTGAGCAGTAATGTGTGGTTCAATTGACGTCTCATAGAATGATGCAGGCAAAGGGGCCCATTCTCGTCCTCCGAATGAGGCCCAATTGATGGTGAGATGACATTTGTCTATTCATCGTTAGCCCAAAAACAGCAAACCAAAACACACAGTTGGCTCGATTGATTCTGAAAGCAAAGTTTGATTCCAACGCCCGGTGGATAAAGGAATTATTCACTGTTAGTTATTTAGTTTGGTCATTGGAAAGGATGATGAAGGAATAAAATGGAATTTAACGAAATTTTTATCGATGAATAATCCGAGTTATTGATCAAGCTTATATGCATTTCTATCCTTTGACAAGCAAAAATAAAAAGTAAAAAAAATTCCTGAGGACCCGAATGCTTTTTCCCCATTAGTTTGCTCGTTAAGAAAAACTTTCATCAATTTAATTAACTCAATTTATGAATGATAAGTGACGACAGGGTAATTTATGTCGAATAATAATTCCCATCTCAGAAGGTGAAATATTAGTTTAGCCCTTGTAAATTTTAAAGCACCAAAGCTCCAAATAGAAAACCAAGTTGTAGCGCCAAACAAAGCCGAGTGATCCGTATCTCCACCAAAAATTAATTTAATTTTGAGTTACCGCCCTCGGGGATCGAATTCTATTGGTCCCTTGTGCCTCGCCACGGATTACTACCCCATCTTCTCCGCTTCACTCAATCTCTGCCGTTGGTTCAGAGAAGCATCGACGCTCCATATATTTCTAATTCTGCCGATAAATTGCTTGCCCTAGATGGTGACACCGTCAAGTCTCCTGAAACAGAAAACGGGCTTGATTTCCTCTCTGCATTGAGATGGCACGAACCAAGCAAACTGCTCGCAAGTCCACCGGAGGGAAGGCGCCGAGGAAGCAGCTGGCCACCAAAGCGGCCAGGAAATCGGCTCCTGCGACCGGGGGTGTGAAGAAACCCCATAGGTTCAGGCCGGGAACGGTGGCGCTGCGGGAGATCAGAAAGTATCAGAAGAGCACGGAGCTTCTGATCCGAAAGCTTCCGTTTCAGAGGCTGGTGAGAGAGATTGCTCAGGATTTCAAGACCGATCTTCGATTCCAGAGCAGTGCTGTGGCTGCATTGCAGGAGGCGGCCGAGGCATACTTGGTTGGGCTATTTGAGGACACCAATCTCTGTGCCATTCATGCGAAGAGGGTAACCATCATGCCTAAGGATATTCAACTCGCTCGTAGAATTAGGGGTGAGAGGGCTTAGTCTTTCTGGAATTGTTGCCAACATGTCATGTGCTACATTTTAGTCCTGCTTTAGCTAAGCATCTTAAGTACTTTCTACTCGCCTTCAAAGCCTCAGGCCAGAATCCATCCCATGTAATTGAAATTTAATCTATATATTGATTGGATTATCTCGTCTTTTCTTTAGCTGTTTTTTGTCAGGATTTGATATTTAACGTACCCATTCCATTATTGTTGTTTCATCATCCGGTGGCCGCTTACAAACACGTATCTTATGACCAAGATGATCAGATGAAGCAGCTTCAAGATTACATTGTTTGTCTTTATTAGTGAACTTAACAATCTGGATTGGATCCTATGAAGTTGCCGAGCAACGGAATTTTTTTTTAATTGTATTAATAATTTATCGACATTAATATTGATCACTTTTGACGATGTTAACAGATTTAATGATAAGTATAAGCAATCATAGTAACATTACACTGTTATTTATCAAAAATGGCAAAGGTTTTCCCAAACAACTTAAACCTATCTCTAAAGATAAGCGCTACATATCAAATTATGTACGTAAAAAGTGACATACTTCATAGAAGGAACATCAAACCCAATTGCTGGAGACGGAGAAGTCGTGGAATCTGAAGGAGAGATCACCAGCAGTGTCTCTCTGGATCCTGGACTCTGATCTCTCGCTGCTGCTAACTTCAACTGCAGCAGATGGTTGCGGGAGCAATTCCTGAGTTTCACTATCAATGGAATCATGGATTGGTAATTGAGCTTCATCGGGTAACGGAGACGGATCTCTAAACCTAGTGCTTCCTCCACTTGTAGAAGCCAATGCTGGGTCCCACAGGAAGACGTGCATTATAATGGGAGCCCTGGCGTGTCTGTGCAAGGACAGCTTCTGGCTGAGCGAAACCGTGTCGAAGCACCGAATGGCTCCGGTAGCTGAAACCAACCACGGAAGCACTTTCTGACTTGAAATTCTCGAAACAACCAATAACCTTGAAGTGTTGGATGCTTCCTTGTACAGATTGCTGAGCCCTGATCGCGTGGCAGGTAGATTTTCCTGACCATTAATCACTGAGGAGATGAAAATAAATCCCTGTTGATTGCACGAATACACTTATTAGGGAATTACAATCCAGTATCAGAGGCAATGCTTTAAAGATCAAAGAGGAATACCTCTTCTGTGCGACTAATGGCAAAGCCGAGCTTTGCGTCGCTCTCTTTTAGTTTGATCTCAACTGGGAACTCCTCCCCAATTGGAGCGTACCACAGTCGAACTGCCCGGACAACACCTATATCCACCCCATGGTAATCCTCGAAGCCGTAAAGGCTTGCGTTTGCAAGGTTTGCCAAGTCGGATAATGACCCTGCACTCACAGTTGACGACGCTGTCTCTCCGGAGATCTGTCTCCCCAACAGAAGAAGATAAATTCCGTTATTCAGTTACCACATGATCGTCTCCTAAAATGAACGAACTAGGCATAAATTATGTGAATGGGGAACGGACCTTGGTAAGCAGTGACTCAGTTTGGATGTTGATAAAGACGATGGGAACCCCTGAAGACTGAGCAGCTTGAAGCCATGCATTTGCCCGGGCCAGCGTGTCTTCTAGATCATTATAGCGAGAAGCTGCGCGATCTGAAGTTTTCGGAAGGAACAGCATGGAAAGGAAGTTGCTAGAATTGGGAACTGGTAGCAACTCCTGCATCCTTCTCTCCCATGGATACGATACATATCCATCTTGAGGTCGAGCCCTATTTAGTTCATTCGCCATCCTTGAGGCCCTTGAACCTGCGAATTAACAAATCATTGATATATATATATATATATATATATAGCAATGTGAAGGGAAAATAGGGAGGGATCATCACATATGCATCTAGACTTTGGCTCAGAAGAAATATCCTCAAATGATATATCCATGAATGGCTGTGTTCAAGTTTCTATAGGTTACTCAAGGAATTACTGCTATGCTGTTACGTTGGATGCAAAACTACTTTCGTCTATACGTAGTGGTGCCAATTGCTAGACCTAATCAGAACCTTAAGGCGTTGGTAAACAACCGGTGTCAATATCCCCACCGACCACAAAGTTGACAGCGCCGTTTTCCCTTCAACCTCATTCTGAGACGTGCAAGGGATAGGTTCCTCCTCCTCAATTAACTAGGATAGTACAAAACTACAACTTCGGCAACACGTGTCGTTATGACTGAGGTCAACTTCGCACAAGTAACAAGGATCACGCACCTTGGTGCTGGAGTGGAGCCAAAAAAACAAAAGTCGGCTTTCGCGTTCACATAATCACATGCCAGTGCCAGATTAATGCCTCAAACAAATATCGTGGAAAAAAATTAAGGATTTGATCCACCCAAAATATATATGCCAGACTCCACACTGGAAGTTCAACAAGACCTCATTTTGTTGAATGCAGCCGGAGATTTGAATTTCTTCTTCAATTATACAATTTATTATTTACCTTTTTTCAAATTTTTGGTGTCATTAGCCTCAAACTACGTAAATTCTGTGAATATATACCTATACACAAATTTTCATTCTTTTAAAATTTGTCTAATTTTTTTTGTACTTTTTTAATTAATTCTTAAAGGAGACTCCGCTTGGTATTCTAGAAAGAATGGAAAAGAGGATTAATCCACAAAGTCAAAATAAGCCCAAAAGATTTTTTTTTTTTTTTAGATTGACATAGATAATGCCCTTTCACACCAGCACATAAATGATAAAAACATTACACACATATTTAAAAATAAATTTTAAGAGATATATACAGTTTTATTTATAAAAAAAAATTTGATGGCCAGCTAATTACCCTTAGCTCTTGGGAAAATGGTAGCTAATACTAAAAGAGAAATGGAAAGTATGAAAATAACATCTTCGAAGTTTTTAACTTTTAAATTTTTTAAGATATATAAAGCAGTTTAAATTTTATTATTTTTGAAGCTTCTTTTTTTTTTAAATAGTTTAAAAATGTAGAGATTATATTATATGCAGAAAGCCGCCAAAGAAGAATGTGCACAGGCGTCCAAAAGCGAATAGATAATTAGACACTATTGTCTCCCGTAGCTTTCCGGACGATCGTTCTGAACGGAACGTATTGGGTTCGAGATGCAGAAGTCTTTGAGAAAATTACATCTAATGAAAAAAATTAATAAAGAGGAATGTTGATAGATAGCAAGAGCAATACCTTGAAGCTGGAAGCACTCGGCCTCGGATCGATCCAAGAAACCGACAACGTAATTGGGATCAGTGATAGACCTGAGGACGTACTGCTTCTTGTCGTTAGGGACGATACAGGCCTGCAATTCGGCAAACTCATGAGGTCCACGGCGGACCCGAACCACTATGGAGGTGTCCTTCTTCTTATAGGAGTCCTGGAGGATCTTGTTGACGCCGCTCCTGCCGTTCTTGAAGGGAGCTTTGAATCGGATCAAGGAGTTGGGCGACGATCCGATTCTAAGCTCCTCGACTATGTCGCCGGACTGAAGCATGTCCCCCGACCATTCCTCCGATTTGGCACTTCCCCTGAGGCATTCGACGGACACCACTTTCAGGTCTCGGGTCGGCGAGTCGGTGCTGCTCTGACTCGCTCGATCCATGGTCATGTTTAGGTTTGTGTACCCCCAAAAAGCCCCAACCTACCTATCACACGGATATTTGCTCGCAATTAATTGAGAGAGAGAATCCGTTTCTTTGTGTTGTGCTCACGAGTTGTTACCGAGATGTGAAACCAAACCTGATGCGAAGGCGATTAGGCCTCCATATATACAGAATGAATTAACGAATTAAAGTCAATGCAACAGCAGCCTCTGAGAGCTTAATGTGAACTCCAAAACCTGAAATTTTCGTTGGGCACTATTAAACGAATAGAATATTGAGGAACGCATTGACTAGCAATCTGTCCTAAATTATGATTGCTGTGGAAAACTATATTCATCTCTTTTTTTATTTATAAATCTATTTTAACATGTTTTATTAAAATTAAAAAAATTTAAAATTTATTTTCTAAAAATTTAATAAATTCTTAATTCTATCTCTATTATATATATATATATATATTTTTTTTTTTAATAATTTATTTTCTCTCTTTAATATTGGTTCAAAAAATTTATGAAAAAAAATTTAATGGTGTATCTTATAAATAGAATAAAAAAAAGACTTACTCCTTCCGTTAAAAAAGATAAAGCATTTTTTAAAAAGTTTGATGTTAAAAAATATAAAATATTTTTAATTTTTTAAGGTATAATCATTGTCTTCTTTTTTTAAAAAAATGACCTTATTGAAGAAATCACTTTATATTTATTTTAGAGTGAAACATTCTATTAAATATAAGTAAATATAAAAAATAAATTTAATTTGAAGACAAGTAATTACTTCTCTTGTCTTCTTAATAAGTCATTTTTAACCAAACTCATTAATATCAATGCAAAAAAAAAAGTAAAAGGAATAAAAACGTATAAAATTTTAAATATGCTCTTATATAACTAATTTAAAAGGTGATGTTATGTTTTTTTTTCATGATAATTGTAGAAATACATTTTAAATATTACCTACAAAGCTAAATCGTGACTTATAAATAAATAAGATCAAATGAATTTTCTAAAAAGTACCTTATAAATGGGATTAGAAAGAGTACTTTATTGGAATGAAATTCAATTAAAATCACTTGCTTCCTGTTGTTTACCATGATCAACCCTGCTCTTTCCGTGTATTTTCCAATCATCTTCTTTGAATATTGTAAAATTAATAATTTTAATCTGGTGAGAACATATAGCGCAGGTTGAGGCCTCGAAATGGTGTATAATCTGTTGCTCTGTTGTAGATTTTTGGTAATAAAATATACTTCCAAGTTTGCGTGCATTTATGGATTTTGTTGGCTTGTTAATGGTCAGTTTTTACACTATTTTTTATTAATTTGATTGATAATCTTCCTTTTGTTTCAAAACTATATTTTTTCCCCAAAATTTTGTTTCAAAAATATTTATCTTTATGAAAAATTGTTTGATATTATTTGTCTCTTTAAACTTTTAAAACACTATATTTTTTTATTTTTATTGCTCATAATATCTTTTTATTAGAGATAATATCATTCGAGACACGGTTGGATATTAAATATAGATACTTCTTTAATATGAATTTGAATTTTTTGTCGCTACGATATGAGGAATTTGCTCCTCTCACCAGACTCAATCCTTATTGGTTTTTTTTTCCCTCTATTTTATTCTTAGAGCCATTGAAGTACTATCAAGAGCTAGGAAATTAATGGAATATACAAAAACAATTGAGGGCAAATTGAATAAAGTATATTATATTTTGACATATTAATTGTACGTACTTGTTACTTTAAAAGAAAAATATTTTGAAACAGATGAGTTGTTTTAAAATTTATAGATATATAGTGAGATGAAGTGTGTATTTGGCTTAAAAAATTTACAACTGAAGTTAGGATTTAATTGAGGTTAGGAGAAAAGTCAATGAATGTAACGTGATTTATATTTAAATATCTCTTTTTCAAAAGTCGGATGGACAAATTAAAATTTGTTTAAATAATTTGATTCAAAAGTCAGTTTTGTGAATAAGTTGATATTTTCTAAAAAAAATATGAAACTTAAAATTACATTTAAAAAAACATAGATTTTTTTTACCAACTAAAAAAACATAGATTACAAATATAAAATATATTGATAAGTCAAAAATATTAGTTTTCAAAAAATGTAAAATTAAATGATAAAATTCAAAATACTTAATTATGAAAAGTTGAAATAAATTTATAAATTTAAATAAATATGATATATATATCTTTTAGCAAATAAAATATTAAACTTATAAAATAAAAATAAAACATATTCAGAACATTATAAAATTATAATGTTATATTATGATATTTTTGTTATGATTTTTATTTATTTGTTCTAGATATTTTAAATTCTTTCTTATCTTCATAAATTTCACATATATTCTAGGTATTTTATACTTTAAATTTTAAATTTCCTAAAATATAGAATTTTTATTTTATAAAATTGATTGATATTTTATTTGTTGGATCATTATATTTATATACTATAATTATACTCCCTCCATTCAAAAATATTGGACATTTTTAATCAAATTTTACCCCCAGTAAAGTAATTATATCTTCAGACTAACCCTATCTTTTCATATTTATCCTTATTAGACTTTCTACGATAAATATAAAGTCATTATTAATAGAGGTACTTAAAAAAAAGGTAATGATTGTATCTCAAAAAACTAAAAATGCTTTACATTTTTTAACATCTAACTTCTCAAAAAATATCTTATATTTTTAAACGGAGGGAATAATTATCTTATAATATTATAATTTGAAATAGAATATTTATAAGGGTTTTTACACACAGCCCATATCATAAGATTAAGTAAAAGAAATAATTCATCCTTTCTTAAATTTTAAAAATGACCTTTTTAATATTTAGTTTATAATTAATTTATAAAATTACCCTTTTAATATCTCCTTTTTTCAAATACCAAAAGATTCAAAACTCAATAAATCTCTGCAACTGAAGGCAATGAATGTGAGATATATAGTCTAAGATGGCATTTTTTTTAGAGATGAACGTGAAAAGGAAGACAGAACTAGATGCAAGAGAAACCAATGCGAGACAGTAGAACAGTATGAAAAAGCCATAGTCACAATTGCAAGAGACAAATGCAAGGTGAGATATATCGACGGTACTTGACGGAATGGAGCACGTCGATGGGGAGATGGAGCAATAAATTTATGATTTTTTATTTTATTAGTTTAAGTATTTGACTCTCTATGATAAACTAAGAGTTTAAAATTTTTTGTAGACTGTGTTTGATCTATTTTGGACAAATGATTATATATTTTTTGTGTTACTGATTCACAATACTATATCATTGATATAATGCTATATATCACTGATATACTATCACAGATCAACATAACTAGACAATTAGATATAAATTTATTTATCATTGATATATATATATATATATATATGTATGTATGTATGTATGGATGTATATCAATGATGTAATTTCACAGATCAATAGCATGAAAAATACATAATCATTTATCCAAAATAAATCAAATACAGTCAACAAAAAATTTAATGTTACCGAGAGATGTGAAGATGGTGAAAATCTAATGACAGATAATAGATTTTAACTTAGTCTTCTGCTTCCAGAAATGAAGATTCATCGTCAATGTCTAATGCCCTCTTCATAGTGTTCTTGGAAAAAACAAAGAAGCAAAAAAAAAAAAAAAGCTCTGTGATGAAGAAAGACAATGGCTTTATATTCAGAGAAAAAAAGGAATGATTTAGAGGAAAAAGAAGAAGAAAGATTCAATCAGTTTAGGATTAATTACAATAGATTATTGTGCTTTAATAATAAATTTAATTTGAAGATTAAAAAAATAAAATACATCTAATTTATTTTATGAATGGGCCATATTTTAAAATATTTAAAAATCTCATCCATAATTTTTGGGAACTGTATTTTTTTGGCCATTAAGCTAATTTCCTCTATTTAGAAAAAGATAAATTAATATAACATTATAATTATATTATAATATATTTATATTTATAATTATTCCTCCTCGGTCATCCCCTTCTTCTTCCTCAAATTGCAGAATAGAAGCTACGAATAGACAAGATGAGCAAATGACGTCCAACCTCAGCTAAACCCATGGCAAAACTCATGGACAATGACAATGACGACTGCAGAGACAATGACAACCCCAAAGGCTTGCTTGCATTCACCAAAAGAGAGAAAATTGTAAGCTATTACAATGTTGATATATGTGGTTATCACTATGAAAATAATATCAAGAAAGAAAGCAGACTTGAGATTTGCACGGCTAAGTTCACATGTAGTGGTGACAATGAAAGAGAAAACCTTATACCAACCACTAAACAACCTAGTTGCATGCCCTAAGATTGTTGCCAATGGCCCCAAACGCGAGCAACACACATAGTTGAGATCGGTTGGCAATAGTGGCGATGATCTCTAGTCAAATTCGATAGAGCAAGGGAGAAGGAGGTGAAGAGCGAGCAAGAGATGACGACGACATGAAGAAAGAAGGTGAGAAGAAGAGCAATTGGCTTTCAAAAATGATACCGTGGAAGGAGAGAATTGGTAGAGGTGAAGATAATAAAGAAAGAGAAAAGTATTGGGCATTGGCTTTCATAAAGCTACCACAGAAACTTGAGCAGTTGGTTATCACAAAAACGCTTATTAGGACCTAATGTTAGTTTGATTTTTTTTTTAATCCAAACATAACTTTTTAAACTTTTAACATCCCAAACCAAAGTTGAGGATATCCTAACTTCCGTTGAGATTTAATTCAAATATGCTCAAAAAATGAGTGGTGAAGAGTTGGGAGGGTGGATGCGAGTTCGGTCAAAAACCGTTGAACGAAAACACAGCCCAGCATCATCATCATCATTCGGTGGATCCAACCAGCGGTATTATTATGGTTCCATGGTTGCCTTCCTCCTCCATCTCATCTACGGTCAAGGCTGTAAGCCATTCAACCCACGTGTTCTCTGACCCTTCCTATTCGTTTTATCAGCACTTTGAATTACGCTTGACCATTTATTAACTCCTTTCGTTCAATCACAGTTCAACACAATATTCAACATCATGTGAAAGTGAACGCTGAGGACTAAACATTTGTTTTTACACCAGCTTTAAAGCCTTATCCAATATTTTTGCCCCACAAGGAACGAGAGAGGGCACGATCGTGATATTCAATCCCAATTCAGCGCTCCAGCTATCCAATTACTCGAATTTCGTCTTGATGAGCATTTTATGGACAATTTCACCGCAATAATACAAACA